AGGATTCTGAAGCTTCGTCTGACATACTTTGGGCATGTTGCAAAGAGGGACTGGTCCTTGGAGAGGGACATCATGTTTGGGAGAGTGGAGGGACGTCACAGGAGAGGAAGACCCTCGATGAGATGGATCAATTCTGTGAGTGGAGTGGTGGAAATGAATGTGTTTGAGACGGTGAGGTTGGCACAGGATAGAAACGCGTTTAGGGCTCTTGTACATAGGGTCACTATGAGACGCAAACGACTCGATGGCACATAACAACAACCACCTTTCTATGAACACTACCCGGGGACTCTGAGGACCTTGCATCAAATAACCCGGTTTGCAGCGGGGTCTGTTATGACTCAGGGAGGCCGGGTGTGTCAGAGTAGAGTTGTGCTGCTGAGCATTCCCCATGGCTGCATTTTGGAAGTAGATCGCCAGGCCTTACTTCCAAGGTGCTCTGTGGACTCGAACCTGTAAACTGTGAGTAGAGCACTCACATACCCAAAGCTACCAAAGGAAGGTCTTTAAAACAGGGCTTTGTTTTCCTCCAGGAATCTGGTACAACATTCTGAGAGGAGTCGGGAAGCTGGCCGTCATCATTAATGTGAGTGACCCCAGGACCCTTAGCAGAGGGACACTCAGGCCCTGTGCTCCCATGCCACCAACTGAGGGCCTGGACTGGCCTCCCACCCCAGGCCTGACCTGGCAGATCCTGACCTCATTCCCCACATCTCGGGGTCAGTATGGGGTGGGAGTGAGTCCTTGGAGGCCAGCAGTTACTACCCTGCAGTAGGGATTAGACAGCTGAGCAGAGAGGGTGAACAGCCTGCCCGAGGTCACAGCCTGGCTATGGGAGCCAGCACCCCTGCTCTGAGCACGAGCCACACTGAGCTGCCCCAGAGATGCCAGGATGAAGGGACAGGTGGGAACTGGAGCTTACAATGTGCTTTCACTCCCCGTCTCCTGCAAGGCCAGGTCCACAGGGAGAGGGTTCTGAGTTCTGATTTACCAGCCAAGGCACCTAGAAGTTAGGTAATGTGTAAGGCCGCACAGCTAGGAAGACAGCACACTGGCCAAGGTGTCCCCCTCCAGGCCTTCTCCCAGGCTTCCTGTGGTCACTGCACAAGCTGAGGCCCCTGGTCACCTTCTACATCCAATAGTAGAGGCATAGAGGCACAGAGAGCCACATGGCCAGGGCCAGCAGTGCCTGGGTCACGTGGACAGTGGACATGTGGGGACCATGCTCACCCTGCTGCCTCTCCATGCCACCTTCCCCCTTCACTCACTCACCGCCCCCCAGGCAGGAAGGCTGGCCCTCCCTGTGCCCCCTCTCAGGCGGGCACCTGCTCACCCCGCTCTCCCCCCAGGCCTTCGTCATCTCCTTCACGTCCGACTTCATCCCACGCCTGGTGTACTTGTACATGTACAGCCAGAACGGAACCATGCACGGCTTCGTCAACCACACCCTCTCCTCCTTTAACGTCAGTGACTTCCAGAACGGCACGGCCCCCAATGACCCCCTGGACCTGGGCTACGAGGTGCAGATCTGCAGGTACCCCCCTGGCCCCTGCCCTCCACAAGCTTGGCCTGCTGGGCTCCTGGCCTCTTCCTGGGTCAAGGGACAGAGCAACCCAAACCCACTGAAAATTAAAAGAAGCCTGGGTTCCTGAGGGGATTGGCTGCTTGCTGTAACTGAGCCATCTGGGGTAGATTCAGGAGTGGCTGGATCCAGGTGCTCGCTTCCTCCAGGCAGGCTTGTCTCCTGGAAGGTGCCGCCGCCCCGTGCAGTGAGGATGTCCCCACAGATCTCAGTGCCCCTGGTCAGCAGCCCCAGGAAAAGTGGCCCGTCTTTGTGCCGCTAAGAGGCTGGTGGGTTCCGGCCTTTCATTTATCAGCCACACGTCACTTATTATGTCACCATGGCTCCTCAGCATAAGCTGCAGTGAAAAAGCAGGTCTAAGAAATGAAAGCACGCCTCGCCTGGGGCCGTTTGGACAGGTGACCAGCTAGACAGGTAAGCCGGTAGACAGCTGGGCAGTCCAGCTCAGATATTGCCACCGGCCTTGTAACCAGAAGCGGCTCTCAGATGTCCTTGAGTGCCGAAAGAATGACATCCTGTGGGTTCCGTGTTGGGACAGGGGTGACACCTGCTCCAGGGTCCCCCGTGGGGATTCAAGGTGAGCTGGAGCCAGATCTCCCAGTGAAAAAGGGTTGTGGTCACACAGGGGCCGATCACAGAGTGCTGGGGGGTTTAGAAATGCAACAACTGGAATGGACAATGTGCGTAGGAGCCCTAGAGAAGAGCTGCTAACTGAAGGTCAGTGGTTCAAATCCACTAGCTGCTCCACAAGAGACCAGTAGGTAGTGACCTCCCATGAAGATGTGCTGCCCTGGGAAGACGATAGAGCGGTCCATGCCACAGCAGCTGGTTGGTGTGGTCTGGGTTTGTGTGTATAGAAAAGTATTGCCTGCCATGGGGTCTAGAAGCAGCCCAGGTGTGTCGGCGGAGAACTGAGCTCCAAGAGGGGTTCGTTGTTGTGTACCATCAAGTCACAACCGACCTATAGTTGACCATCCAAGTGGGCTTTCAGTAGCAGTAAATTGGGAGGAGATTGCCCGACCTTCTCCCACGGATCAGCTGATGGATTCAAACTACGTGCCTTTGGGATTGGAACACACATTCTTATCACCAGGCCAAGGGGATTTTTAGTGGCTGTTTTTTTCAGCAGGAGATTGCCAGGCCTTTCTTCTAAGGCACCTCTGGGTCAAGCCTGATCACAGCCTTTCATTCCCAGCTGGGAACGCCAGGACTCTATGGGAAGCAGTACTTGAGGATGAGGCAGGCAGGGAAATGTGGGGCTCCTGCGAGCCTCCCTCCAAAGCCCCGCCCCTGGTGCCAGAGGCTGAGCCAGCCTTTTGGAAGGAGACCAGGGCCCTGGGCCTCGGCTAAGGAGGCAGCGCCACAGCCCATGTTGAGAGCAGTGGACACGCACACACAGCAACCGAGGCCCTGGCTCCGAGTGTGTTGTTGCTCTGCACACCTGGTGACAGAGGAACGCAGGGCCGCGCCCCCTCCTGCCAGGTCCTCCCTTTGGGCCAGGTGCTGCCGCAGGTGCTGGGCGCGGCTCCCACCCCGGCTGCACCCTTCAGCGGCCCAGCTCCCAGGAGAGTGGGCGGCCGGAGGAGCAGCGCCCAGCCCAGCCCGGGCAGAGGATGCAGGAGAGGCCGCGTCAGTGGGTTGACAGCTGAGATCGCTGCTGGCCTCATTGTCTCCTGTCATCTCACAGTCACACCCCGAGGAGGACACTGCTGTACCCCTGCGGGAGCCAGCGGCTGCACAGGGGAGCTCAAGAGCGGGCCATCTGCGTCTTAAGATCCCTTCTGGTGGAGGCAGCACAGGTGGTGGAAGGCACAGTCGGAGCAGTAACGGGCGGGCTTTGAGGGATGCATAGAAGAGTGCCCGCTGTTCCCGGGATCCCGGTGGAGCTGAGGATGCAGGCAGAAGAGAGTAGCAGGCACATGGGGCCCTGACGCTGGGGGATCAGGGGTCCTCTGTTCCCGTCTGGAGCACCTGGTGCAGTCACTCCGCAGCTGGTGCAGGGACACATTCCCAGCCCGAGTTTATGACGGTGCCTGGAAGGTTAGCCACAGGCCCGCAGAGACTCCAGCCAGCTTCCTCCAGAAACAGAACTCCATGGGCCTTGTCTGTCATGTCCCCCAGTCGCCTCTTTAGAGCACGTTCCTGAAGGCAGAGGTGATTCCATGGGTTCAATTCCCCATCAGTGTGCCTCAGGTGCAGCCTCTGCCTGTCTGTAGAGAATTTCATGTTTCTGTGATGCTGAAGGGGCTTCAACACAGTTTCCAGGTTGAGAGACACTAGGAACAAAGGCCTGGCAATATACTTTCAAAGATTAACCCTTAATGACAGCCCTGTGGACCCAGCAGTCTGTCTGCAGCCAGCCATGAAAGGTACAGGACCGGGCAGCATTTTGTCCCTCTGTGAGTGAAGGTGACATGAGTTGGAATCCCACCCACTGTGGTCAAGTAGATCCTGACTCATAGCGGCCCCCCACAGCACCGAGCAGAGCTATCCCAGGGTCTCCAGGGCTGATGTTTTTATGGAAACAGCTTTGTCTGTACCTCTGCCCCTGTGGAGCGGCTGGTGGGTCTGAACAGCCAACCTTTTGGTTCACAGCAGAATTCTCTAACCACTGTGCCACCAGGGCCCCTGCACCAGGGGAGAACTGTGTTACTTAGGTGTAAGGGGTGACTGCCTGGAAGAAGCAGTGCAGTCGTGGGAAGCGGCTACCTCCAGGGTGCTGAAATCGGGGTGCGGCAGGCAGGCTCCAGCTTGCACTGTTTCCTGCTTTACCCGACCACAGGCCACTGGGATCCAAGCCCCTGTGCTGTTCAGCCATGTCCCCAGATCCAGGGAAGGCTGAGGAGGTGGTTTCTCAAGGTGTATTGGTGGAAATCCACCACCAGAGAAGGTGACAGAGGAACGGGCAGGGTAGAGCCTAGGGGAAGCGGGGGGGGGGGGGGTGTCAAGCATGCAGAGCCGCTACCCAATTGTAGCCATACTGATTTCCCTCTTTGCTTACTTCTTTCTTGTTCCTAGTCTTATGTTGTTATTATTATTGTTACAATGTGAATGAAAGTTTACAAAG